GACTGGCGGAGACTGATACCCACACAATTCTCCACAACAACTGATTTTTTTCTGCTACACCCGGCTACGCTGCTTCGCTTCTTCTTGTTTACTACTGGTGGTTGGCTTTGGTCGCAGTACCGCCACCTTCTGCTCTGGAGTGTAAACGCTTCGCCTATGAGAAAATGGAGCAGCGTATGAACCGAACGAAACACGCAAACTGAACCGAGACAGTCGAACCGAACGGTTCACTAATTAGGAACAATGACCCTAACCAAATCTGCAGTCATCTTTACCACTGCGGTAGAAGAGCATCCTGAAGTATTTCTGTCAGTGAGCCACCATGAGGGTTTGAGTGGCCTCTGAGGGGAACACTTACGTGGCGGGTAGAGGAACGCGTACGTCACGTGTCTCTCTGCTCTGTATGTGGAGCAGGACTGGCTGGAGGCGGGCGGGACTCGGGCGTCCGGCCTGAGGCAGTTGGTCAGAGCTTCAGGCAGAGGAGACGACTCTACCTGGAAAACCAGAGGAAGGAGGCTCAGGCACTGATGACCGTTGCTACTCTACCTTATCACTAGGGGGCATCAATGTCCCGCAGCAGAGAGTCCAAGGGACAGAGCGGTACCTGTATGCTGACAGTGTAGGACGTCCAGAGCGGCATGAGGAGAGTCTCGCTGTATCCGCTGATGTAGTCGCTGTGATGGAGGACGCTGTATTTGGCCCTGAAGAGGACAGCAGGGCGTCCATGGGGCAGGTTCCTGCTGTCTGAGGGACGGAGAACACAGAGGGACACGACACAGAGACGCACCACTGTAACAAGTCCGGTCTGTCCGAGTCAGACTGGAATAACAAACCCTCCTGAACTTCACCATAAATGTAAAGTTTTCCTGGGATGACCAACAGCAAGCAGAGCATCGCAGGGAAGAATAGAGACCATAGAAACATCCTTTGGTGTGAATCTGTCTAAAGGTGGTGGGTTAATCATCAAAGATAAAGGACCAGAGCTCTGAAAGACCAACATTCACTCATTTTAACTCTTTCCAGTGACTTTGGAGCAAACCATCGTCAGCCATTTCTCCTCACGACCACCATCCTCCATGTTTTAGGTGTTTCCCTGCCTCCACGCATCTGACCAGATTGAAAAGGTGATCAACAGGGTTTTGCTGCGTCTGATGGCTGCTGAGGACATAATGGGATCATTCAATCAGCTGTACTTCAGTGGAGAATCGTCTGAAACAGGAAGTGGGCCCTAAGGACCCTGGCGTAAAACATCTCAACATTTTACAACTTGTTTGGAAGGATGCTGAACAGAATGTGAAGCTATTCCCCTGATTCCTGTGAAAAAACTAGGAAAGAAGTTCTTTAATGGTGTTTGAAAGGAAGAACAACCGACCAATCACTGACAGGACTCTCAAACTGAGACAATAACAGCAGGGAAGCATGGTGGTGGCAGCATTATGCTGCGTGGAAGATGGCAGAGAAATCCTGGGAGAAACCCTGTTGGAGTGTAGCAGGAGAACCAGCAGGAGAACCACCCTGAACCACAGACAGTCTGGATGGATCAGATCAGAGCCGATCAATGACGTAGAATGGCCTAGATTAACAGATTACCCCCCCCACCCACCCACCTGCCCTGCTTTGTGTTGGTCTGCCTCATCAAATCCTGGTCCAATCATTTATTGTTGGGAAATGTGAAAAGTTCGAGGAGTGGGTTTGTTTTTCCAGCCTTCAGGGCTGCAGATGTTCTAACATCTCCAGAAACATCATAACAAACTGACCATCAATTGCTTGCCTCAATCGCCGGTTTAGCTCCTCCACTTTGTTCTGTAAGAGACAGAGCCAGAGTGACTCCAGGTTATAGCCTCGTACAAGGGTCACCTTTAAACCTCTCTGGCCCCTACTTTTTACACGCAACTGCAAAAAGATCGGAGATTGAAAACAATCTCTTGCCAGAGATCTTATGGAATCAGAAACACAGTGAAGCAGCAGAGCTGCGTCTCACTCCCGCAGTTCAACCCAGAGCGATAGAAAACAGGAGGCAGAGGATGGATGTTTGACCTTTGACCGTCTGAACTGGGGGGAGAGACTCCAGCTCTGCTGCAGAAAGCAACCAGGCAACACATGAGCTGTGGAGGACGCAGGACCAGAGCAGTTACTGAGGCATCTGGATGACCTGATCACAGACCAAGGTTCAGGTTCACAGGTTTTTATAAAACTGCTGTCTCACTGTTAACCAACTGTTAACCCACTGTTGACCAGCTGTTAACTTGCTGTTAACCC